TAAATTCTTATATGCATTAAAAGACTTCTCCAAAAGAGTAAAAAGAGAATCTACAAATTGGGAAAAAAATATTTGGCAATGACATTTCCAACAAGGCACTTATCTCTAAAATTTATAGAAAAGTTCAACACCTCAACATCAAAAAAGACAATCCCAATTCAAAAATGGGCAGAAGGTAAGAACAGACCCTACACCAAAGAAGATATTCAGACAGCCAACAAACCCATGAATAAATGCTCATGAATCATTAACCACTGTTGTTGTTGTTGTTATGTGCCGTCGAGTCAGCCCTGACTCATAGCGACCCCTCCTTGGGTTTCCGAGGCAGTATCACTACGGAAGTAGGATTGCCCAACCTTCCTTCCGAGGAGTGGCTGGTGGGTTTGAACCGCCAGCCTTCTGGTTAGTAGTCAAGTGCCTTAGCCACTATGCTACCAGAGCTCCCCTAAAGAGATGCAAATCAAAACAACAAGGTATTATCTCACTCCAGCAATAATAGCAAAGTTCAACAAGATAGAAAACAAAAAATGCTGGCAGGGATGTGGAAAATTGGAACTGTCATACACTGCTGGTGGAACTGTGAAATGGTACAACCACTGTGGAAAATGGTATGGCACTCCCTTAAAAAGTTTAAAATAGAAATACCATTTGATCCAGCAATCCAGCTACTAAGTATATATCTTAAAGAAGTTAGAGCCAGGACACATATAGATATATGCACATGCATATTCATCACAACACTATTCACAATAGCAAAGAGATGGAAACAACCTAAGTGCCCATCATTGGATGAATGGATAACTAAATATGGTGCATATACACAATTGATACAGTGCAACATTAAAGAATAACGAAGAATCTATGAAACACCTCATAACATGGATGAAGATGAAGGACATTATGCTGAGTGAAATAAGCCAATCACAGAAGAATGTGTAAGTCTACTATTATAAAAAGTCAAGGAGAGATTGACACACAGAAGGCAACTTTGGTGGTTACCAGGAATAGGAGAGGGGAGGGAAAATTGCTAGCTAGGTAAGAGATATGTATTCGTTTGGGTGAAGGGAAAGTCACCATACCAAAAGCAAGCAACCAGCACAGTATTACTAAGAAATAGGAAGACAAAGAGCAGTGCGTGCACAAGACGTACAAATATTAAAAGTAAATACTATTACATACACAGTGCTGCATTATCACTAATTACAAACATTGATCTATGGATGGATGCATAGGTAGACAGCAAGATGATTAAATATGGATAGGTGAATGGGAATTCACCCATGACTCATATATAGGTTTGGCAGATGATATTTCCTCATACATATTTGTATGTGTTATAAAAATATCCATCTATGTAATAAAGCCAACAGGTGGCAAAGTTATGTTATCTTCTTAGTCACAACCAAATACCTTGAGGGAGTGAGTCACTGGGGCTGCAGGCTCAGTACTGTAGTTTTAGCAGACATCAAGCTCAGTTTGCATAACACAGTACAGCAACAACATTGCTCTACATCCTGCTTTGGTGGGTAGTGACTGGTGTCTTAAAAGCTTGTGAGCAGCCACCTAAGTGGAAACTATTGGTCTCTTGTCATACAGAGCAAAGAAAAGTGAAGAAAATTAAAGATGCATGGAAACAATCATTAAGGGACTGGTAGACAATGGGAACCTCAGCCTGCATGACCCTGAGACTAGAAGAATTAGATGGTACCCAGCTATCACTGACAAACACTCAGGGATCAAAATTGGAGATCACAGAGTAGGAGAAAAATGTGGAACAAAGTTCAAAATCATAAAAAAAAGAGCAAGATTAATGATCTTACGGAGACTGGTGAAACCCCCAAGACTGTGGCCCCTAGCTACCCTTCAGACCTGGAATTTATCTCACTCCTATGACTTAACTTCCAGCCAAACAACAGACAGTTCTATGAGGTGAACTGTAACACCAGGGAGATATTTTCTTTAGAACAGTCAACCATAGAATATCAGAAGGACAGCATTTATGCAGGAAGAAAGCTCAGAAGACAAGAATGTATAGGAAAGAAGGACAATGGGGAAAAGGTAGCCACAAGGAGGAAGTAGGAAGAGAGGTATTATATTGTGGGGATTGTAATCAATGTCATGAAACAAAATGTGTATGAACTGTTGAATCGAAATTGAATTTGCTCTGTAAACTTTCACCCAAATCACAATAAAAAGTTAATAATATATATATTAAACAAAGAAAAACAACTCACTGCCATCAAGTCAGATATGACTCATAACAACCCCTCCTTGGGTTTCCAAGGCGGTGTCACTATGGAAGTAGATTGCCCAACCTTCCTTCTGAGGAGTGGCTGGTGGGTTTGAACCGCCAGCCTCCTGGTTAGCAGTCAAATGGCTCCAGTCCTTTGGAGGCCAAGAAGCTAGTAAGAGTACAAAGGCCAAAAGCAGTGCCCTTGGAGTATGTTGAAAGCCACATGCAGCATGGCCAGACCCTCCCTCCTCTGTACACTGCCTCAGTCATTCTCTCCTCAGGTTACCATCACCCCTTTCATGTAAATCTCAAGGAAAGTTTATTGTTTCCCCTTGTTCACTGGATGATTTTATTGTTACCTCTTTGTTTTTGGACTGAAGATAGTTTATGCATTGTCCATGTTAACTTGTAAAGCTTCATGTTCATTTCCCACAGATGGGTCAGACACTGTCCTATATGTGCCATCACGGTTATATACTAGCAAAAGGTCAACACATCTTTGAGGATTCCTCTCCCTGCCACATTTTCACTGTTAAGCAGGAAGTGGGAAAGAAACATACAACTGGCACTGTGACTGTGTGATAATTGGATATATTCTAAAAGCCTTCAGTATGGATTACACCTCAACATAAAGCAAAAATCCTCGCAAAGAGGAAACAAGGAGGACCACTAAGCAACATCATGATAAAAAGAGAAATTGATGTTAAAGATTTTATTTATGTAGATTGACAGTCAACACCCATGGAAGCAATAGTAGGATCATAGTGAGGGTAACAAGCACTGAGGCAAACTCAGAGGTTGCGATCATCTCCCAATGTCAAGAATAATAGATGGTGATAGTGGTAGTGCCTCAGCAGAAACACTTTCCCCCCTCTTGACTGGCTGCCTTAGTCAGGTATCTTTCATATTTGTGACACCTTGCAATGTCATTTCATGCCTATCTAGCACCCCAGAAACAAGCTCCCCCTTCTGCCCCATCCTCTCTAAGCCTCTGGATGTCTACCATGCTTGAAGAAGGCCACTGGGTTGTATGAGATTAAAGAAAATACTCGGTGGCACCCCCTCTTCAAGTGCTGCTTACCCTACTTTAGACACACCTCTGAGCAGTAGTCAAGAAATCAAACGATGTATTGCATTGGACAGATCACTGCAAAAGATGTCTTTAAAGCAGTAAGAGGCAAAGGTGTCCCTTTGATGCACCTTACCCAAACCATGGTATTTCCAGTCACCTCTTAGGCATGTGAAAAGTAAAAAGTGAATAAGAATGACTGAAAAAGGATTAATGCATTTGAATTATGGAGTTGGCAAATAGTATTGAATATGTCATGGATTATCAGAACAACAAACAAATCTTACTTGGAAAAAGTACAGCCAGAATGTTCCTTAGAAGCAAGGTTGATGAAACTTCATCTTAAGTACTTTAGACATGTTATCAAGAGGGACCAGTCCCTTGACAAGAATGTCATGCTTAGTAAGTAGAGGGTCAGCCAAAAAGAGCAAGACCCTCAACAAGATGGACTGACATAGTGGCTACAACAATGAGCTCAAACATAGCAACGATTGTAAGAATGGTGCAGGACCAGACAGTGTTTCATTCTTTGTATGTAGGGTCACCAAGAGTGGGAACAGACTTGAAACATCTAACAACTAAAAATTTTGTTCTTTTTACCTACGTATTTTTATTTCTTAGGGAAAAGTGCTGAAATTAAGAGACATAGGTATTAGCCTAGGTCCTTTTAACTGACACTTTTTCTTCACCTCTCAAGTTGGCTATGATCGAACCTGTGCCTACCTCCCTGCCTACGAGAAATGAGGTGATAGGGCTAAGACAATTTAAATTTAAAAAAAAAAAAAAAAAATTGAGTCAATTCTAACTCATAATGATCTGACAGAATAGAATTGCCCCATAGAGTTTCCAAGGTATAAATCTTTACGGAAGCAGAATGCCGTATCTTTCTCCCATGGAACAGCTGGTGGGTTTCAACTGCTGACCTTTCAGTTAGCAGCTGAGAATTTTAACCACTGTGCCATTAGGGCTCTTAAGACAATGTAGGGCTCTTTAAAATGAAATAGACTGGTTTCCCAAGCTTGCAGCAGACTTAGAGGCAGAGTGCAGACCATTTCCATCCTTTGTTGAGGTTCTGATTTAAAATAACGTCAGTTATCTTTTTAGCTTAATGCATCCTCTTCTGCTGCAAAATTTTTCTTCAGTCTTTCCCATTGTAGGGGAAGTTCAGAGATCACTTCTAGAAAGATGGGGACACCCCAATTTCACATTTTTCTAGGTCTATTTCTCAAATCAAACAGTCCTACATACCTAGAAACCAGGATACATGCAATGAAAGAATAAATCTTTCCTCAAGAAAGGAAACATGGAGCTGTAACTTTTATATTTACACAGGAGAGGATGGACCAGCCCAGAATGAGAAGGAAAAAAAGTCAGAGGTTTTTGTATCTTATATACATACTTCACAAACAGATGAACACTTTTATATTGTATAAGATTCATTCCTAAAAAAAAAAAAAAAAAAGTATTATCATGATATAAATTGTTGTGAAGAATTAAATTATGCTGGGAAATAATCAGATGTTAATTTATCTCGAAGACATTTTAATTTCAGTTAAATGTCAGGGTAAGCAAATTAAATCCTAAGTAAAACTTAACCTAAAAAATATGTTTGAAAGCTGGGTCTTTGAGAGCAACGGAAATGTGGCTAGTTTGTTTTTTTATTTCTTTGTGCTTTCTTTTAAACACGGTAGGCAACAGCATTCTTGAAAAAAGCCCTTACAGAAGAGTGTGAGGATAGGTCATCTATTCACAGTAATGAATCATCTTGCAGCTTGCCATCTATTCTGAATGACAATGGTGGAATAAAGGAAGCAAAGCTCGGTCTGTGGCGCAACAGTGTTCGTACAAGGGAACACGGTAAGTATTGTTAGAGGGCCTATCCTTAGCAAAAAATGCATTCAGAATCACTGTGACACATGTTTCTCAATGTCACCTATAAAATAAAACTGGCTCAAGAATACTTCTGATTTTAACATGCATAATACATTATTTGTTTTATGCCACCTTCCAATGAATATATACGTTCTTGTTTAATCTAACTGGATAGGAAACCTGATTGTAGGTTTGTAGTTCTGCTGAATTTCTAATGAAAGAGGTGTTTATAGTTATGAAATCTTAACAAAACTCATCATGTGGCACAAGATCATTTTTATCGACCCACAAAGATGAAGATGATTCCATTGAAAATGATTCTATAAAAATACTGTGAGGTTTTTTTTGTATCACTTACTGAAATTTATTCATTCATTTTTAAACATTATTCAAATTCCTCATCAAAATCTAAACAAATGATTGAGAAGCAATAAATTTATACCTCCTGAGTTGAATAGCCAATTTTTAGTATCCAGAAATTGTGATTTTTTAAGCATTCCTGTTAAAACATACCAGTAAACACCTGCAATAGTATTTCCAAGAGAGCTGTGAGTTGCTCGGGATATATTCAGATGTGCATGATTTCAGGCGCGTTTGTTTTAAATCTTACCCAAATTTGATAGATGTCAGGCTAAATTATTTTGCCTGAAAGCAGTAGAGGTACCTTAGATTTAGAATTAAAAAAAAAACTCACTGCCGTCAAGTGAGATCCAACTAATAGTGACCCCTCCTTGGGTTTCCAAGACAATATCACTACAAAAGTAGATTGCCCAGTCTTCCTTCTGAGGAGTGGCTGGTGGGTTTGAACTGCCAGCTTTCTGGTTAGCAGTCAAATGCCTTAGGCATTATACCACTTTTTTTAAAAAACAGTACTATTTCAAGCAAGATATAAGATAACTAGAAATAAGAGGCAGGAAGAAAATGGAAATGAAGGAAATGATGATTAAAACAAAACAGGCCTGTTCCATAACTGTGAAGTTTATTTTTATTATCATGTGTTTGAATTTTAGAAGTTTCAAGCAGCTGCAGGGATAAGAGTAAGGAAGAAAGTGTGGCAACAAAGATTCCAGTCACAGGTAATAAAAGTGACAGATTGCATAAGAGTTTCAAACACAGGATTGAACTTTATTATATAATGAAAACATTCTAGGTTAGTGGTTTGTAGACCCACTAAGACCAAATACATTCCAACTACTTTATGCTGAAGTGGGGGATTAACCATAATATCATAAAACACAAGTTTATGTTAACGTAAACTAAGGTGGAAAATAACCGTGTCTATTGAATTCCTTGTAGTCAGATTATACATTTAGACATTTGCGTGTCTCCCATGACACAGCCTTTCAGCTCCTGCTATGTGAAAAGGTCAGTCTCCATGGGGAATACTCCATCATTATAAGGCAAACTAGATGTTTCTGATTTGATTTTTTTCTTTCCTGTAATAATTGAATGTGTATCATTAGAATGGGGGGGGGGATGTAAAACAGGAGGCTTACTTGTGCCTCAGTTACAAAGACCATCTAATAGTTTAAGATGTTTAGCACTAAGATTTTGTCAAGACCTATTAAGATGTATGCAAAGCAGATACATGCATTAGGGTTGGTTAGATGGAATCTGAATGATATCATTATGTGCTTTACTTTTAGAATATCAACAGCAGCAATTACTATTCTAAACAGAATTCTGTTGGTCATACATCTAAATTTACTAGTGCCTTATTTTATAAAGTGGTGTACTACTTCATTATAACTCCAAAGATCTGACTTTAAATATTTATATGCATAAATACACTATGCATTGAGGTACTAAGGCATGTCTCTGCATCTGGAGTACTTTTGCTATTATCTATAAGTAGAAAAGAACAGCTTTCATTTATGGCAGCACACTTCATGACATCAATTTTCAAACCTGTGTTTCTGTGATGAACACTGGTTTTGAAAAAGGAGTTTATAGTAGAGCAATTATTATATATATTCTACATCAGATAATATTTCATTCCTACAAAATTTTCTCTTTTTTAAAGCATTTGTCCCAATGACAGTTTTATTGCATTTTATTCTTCATTTTGGGAAAACTCTGGTAGGGTACTCTCTTGATTATATTTATTAGTAGGAAAAGTATATGCAAACACACTGCCATCGAGTTGGATCTGACTCATAGCAACCCTTCCTTGGGTTTCCGAGGCAGTATCACTACAGTATCACTACAGAAATAGATTGCACAACCATCCTTCCAAGGAGTTAGCAGTCAAATGCCTTAGGCACTACACCAAAGACCTCCTAGGAAAAGTATAGATGATCCCAAACTGCAGATGATCAAGAAGTCATTTGTGGGGAGGAAGATGGTGTCATACCTGTAGGCCACAAATTTGTTCCCTGTTCCTTCTAGCATCTTAATTCCTGAAAAACTAGATGTAGCAGTTAGAAGCAGGGATTCTGGGGCTGTGAACAGCTAAGTAAGAGGGTGCCAGATTTATTGGAGATGGAGAAAAAGAGCAGGTTATTAAACAGCCAGAAAAAATAAACAAACTTGCCCAGCTGGCAAAAAGATGGAAAGGAGGAGAAGCAAAAAACTCATGATTAATACAGGGAAGACACATGGAGAGAAGGAGAAAAAAAGGCAGGGAGGGGCACCATGGAACCCACAGAGGCTTCGGGGATTTGGAATACCCACACTGGGAGCTTCTGATGGGAACATTAGGAGCTGAGCTGAGTAAGTGAATAATCTTGCTGAGAAACAGAGTAGAAACCCTCTTGGATTGGGCTGCCTACTGAGTTCAGAGTGGAGAGGGGAAAGGGAGGAAACTCACCATGGGTAGGCGGGCCCTGGAATAAACACACAGCAGAGGACTGGGATTCAACTCTTCCACAACAGCTTTTTAGCACAGAGTGGATTGGGGTATAGGATTTTTGCAGCTTTCTGACCCAAGTGGAAAGTTGTTGTTGTTGTTGTTAAGTGCCGTCGAGTCGTTTCCAACTCATAGCGACCCCATGCACAGCAGAATGAAACACTGCCCGATCCTGTGCCAGCCCAATCCCTGCTATACTTGAGCCATCATTGCAGCCACCATGTCAATCCATCTCGTTGAAGGCCTCCCCCTCTTTGGGGAAAGTAACAGCCCCCTAACCACTGGGGTCTCTGTTGATTTTGAACCATGGGTCTATGAAAAACAGTAAAATGTCATCACTGGTAGCTATCCCAAAGAGAATCAAAACAAAACCCTGGAACCAGAAATGCAGAAAACGGGAACTCACTACTGGCACCTTTTATTATTATTATTATTTATTTTCTGGCTCTCTTTTCCCCTTCTCCCCTGTCTCATCCAATAGAAAAACCACATTAAGCCACCACAACACCTGATCATATCATCTCCAAATCCCCATCACAATGAACAGAGACCTGCATCCACATTCCCAACAGTAATTCTATTAGAACAAAGAAAACTGGAGAGCAACCCAACAAATCTGAATTAATAACAAACAAACAAAAATTCCATACTTGCAAATATATTTAAAGATAAAATCAGGGCAACACAAATCTATATGTAACTAACAGTTAAGGACGATAATTTCAAAATGTCTAGGAAACAACAGACAACCTCAAATCAAACAAAAAACAGGAAAAGAATGGATATAAAGCCCCATGCTAAACACTTATCTAACATGGAAGGAAAACAGGCAATAGAACTATCTGAGAAGGAATTTAGAAGATACATATATAGAACTCTATAAGACCTCAAGGAAACCACAAACAGAATCAAGGAGAACACAGACAGTACCCTGGAAGAATTCAGGAAAACCATTCAAGAACAAAATAACGAGATAAATACACAATAAGAACTCATACAGAAACAGCAGTTAGAAATCCAGAAGATGAAGACTAAAATTACAGATGTAGACAACACAGCAGAAAGACGAAAGAGTAGACTGGAACTGGCTGAAGAATGCATTTCCCAACTAGAAGATAAATCCCTTGATACCAGCCTGTATGAAGAAAAATCAGAACAAAGATTTAAGAGAAATGAAGAGAGTGTAAGAGTTATATGGGATGACTTGAAAAGAAACAACATATGCCTCATTGGAATACCAGAACAAGAAGAGGTGGAAATAAACACTGAGAAATTGTGTAAGACTTATGAACAGAAAATTATCCCCATATCAAAAAGGAAGAAAAGGTATCTGTTCAAACCCCATACAGGATAGGTCTCAAGAGAAAGTCACCAAGACGTATCATAATCAAACTCTACAAAACTAAAGACAAAGAAGGAATCTTGTGAGCCACCCAGTAAAAAAAAAATGTCACCTACAATGGATAAGCAATAAGGCTAAATTCTGATTACTAAGCAGAAACTGTGCAAGCAAGAAGGCAATGCAATAGTTTATATAAAACACTGAAGGAAAATAACTTCCAACCAAGAATTCTATATCTACCAAATTGGCCCACAAATATGAGGGTGAAATCACAACATTCTCAGACAAGCAGAAATTAAGGGGCTCTGTGAAAACCATCCCAACCCTACAAGAAATGCTAAAGGGAGTCCTTCCAATAGAGAACCCACAACAGAGAACAACAAATTAAAATCAGGACACTTGACATCAACACTTAAAAACCAAATCAGAAATAAATGCTCAAAATAAGCTCATAAAACCTTGTATACAAAGAAACAAGGGTATCAATCTGTAGCCAACACAGGCAAAAAAGAAAATAGAGGGAATAAAAGTTCTAATTACAAAACTTCCAAATGGAGAGGAAGACAAGACAATGTGCTTATAGAACAGACTGTTCCAAAATTTAAGAGACAAGAATTCACAGAGAAAATTAACAATCCCCCTAAGCAAACCCAGAAAGAAGGAAAACATGGGCTTAATAAGCACAAAACCAACAATAAAAAAAGAAATATTTGATAACAAAATGAGTTCAGCACAGAAAAGTATTTGGACCAAGGAAATCATCAACAGCACAACAAAAAACACAACAGAATGACAGCAATCAATTCATACTTATCACTAATTATGCTCAATGTGAATGATGTAAATGCACCAGTCAAGAGAAAGAGAGTGGCAGATTGAATAAGAAAAGAAGACCAATTTTTATGCTGCCTACAAGAGACTGACCTTACACACAAAGATAAAAACAAATAAAAAATTAAGGGATGGAAAAAAATATACCAAGCTAATGGTAACCAAAAAAAAAAGAGCAGGAGTGGCAATATTAATTTCTGATAAAATAGACTTCAAGGTGAAAAATGGCATAAGGGACAAAGAAGGACGCGATATGATGCTAAAAGGGTCAGTTGACCAAGAAGACATTACCATAACAAAAATCTATGCACCCAGTGAAAGTGCTCCAGAATATGTAAAGCAAATACTAAATAAATTGAAAGGCAAAATGGACAACTCTACAATAGTAGTAAGAGACTTTAACACACCACTTTCAAGGAGGGATGGAACAACTACAGGGGAAAAAAAAAACCTCAACAAAGATACAGAAGAACTCAACAACACAATCAACAAACTCGACCTCATAGATATATACAGAGCACTCCACCCAACAAAAGCACAATACACATTCTTTTCCAGTGCACATGGATCATTCTGCAGAATAGACCATATGTTAGGACATAAAACAAGCCTGAATAAATTCAGAAATATTGAAATACTTCAAAGCATCTTCTTGAACCACAGTGCTATAAAGTTAGAAATCAGTAATAGGAAAATTAAGGAACAAAAATCAAATATGTGGAAGTTGAAAAATACAAAAATACACTGCTCAAAAACTACTGCGTAACAGAAGAAATAAAGTGTGAAATAAAAAAAAATTCCTAGAAACAAATGAGAATGAAGATACATCTTACCAAAACCTAGGGGACACAGCAAAAGCAGTACTCAGAGTTTCATTTATAGCAATAAATGCACACATCAAAAAAGAAGAAAGAAACAAAATCAACACTCTAACTCAACAACTCCAACAATTAGAAAAAGAATTTTCTTTTTCTATTATTTCTATTATTCTATTCTCTTATTTCTATTATTTCCAGAAGTAAGGAAATAATAAAGATCAGAGCAGAAATAAAAAA